AGTGTCCATGACTATGTCTTCCTTCCACAGAGGACCCCGACTCTCCATGTTGAGATCCGACTTGGCCATGATGGGACCCCGAGTGCCTCTGAGAGCCTCCTGAGTGTGATTCAGTGTCACTAGACTGGCCGTGACGGGACCCTGAGCGTCTCTGAGAGCCTCCTGAGTGTGATTCAGTGTCACTAGACTGGCCGTGACGGGACCCTGAGCGTCTCTGAGAGCCTCCTGAGTGCGATTCAGTGTCACTAGACTGGCCGTGACGGGACCCTGAGCGTCTCTGAGAGCCTCCTGAGTGCGATTCACTGTCACTAGACTGGCCGTGACTGGATCTCCTTTCTTCACTCGTGCCAGACCCTGAGCGTGTGGAATGTCCGTGACCAGACAGGGCATGTCCACCAGTGTCCCCCAACTGTCCATGACTAACTCCATGTCTGATTCCCACAGAGGACCCCGACTCTCCATGCTGAGATCCGGCTTGGCCTTGATGGGACCCTGGGCGTCTCTGAGACCCTCCTGAGTGCGATTCACTGTGACTAGACTCATGATGACTAAAGCTCCTTTCACCAGATCTATGATGTACAGAACTAGAAGATTGACCCGAGCCAGATCCATAATGGCCAAAGCCAGAGCTCTGACCTGATCCAGACCCATGCTGGCCAAAGCCAGAGCTCTGACCTGAGCCAGACCCGTGTTGGCCAAACCCAGAGCTCTGACCTGAGCCAGACCCATGTTGACCAAAGAGATGACTGGGAGCCAGAGCTCTGACCTGAGCCAGACCCATGTTGACCAAAGCCAGATGACTGGCTTGATCCAGACCCATGGTGGCCATAGCCAGAGGACTGGCCTGAGCCAGAGCCATGTTGGCCAAAGCCAGAGCTCTGACCTGAGCCAGACCCATGTTGACCAAAGCCAGATGACTGGCTTGATCCAGACCCATGTTGGCCAGAGCCAGAGGACTGGCCTGAGCCAGACCCGTGTTGGCCAAACCCAGAGCTCTGACCTGAGCCAGACCTGTGATGGCCAGAGCCAGAAGACTGGCTTGATCCAGACCCATGGTGGCCAGAGTTAGAGCTCTGACCTGATCCAGACCCATGTTGGCCAAAGCCAGAGCTCAGACCTGAGCCAGATCCATGTTGGCCAGAGCCAGAGGACTGGCTTGACCCGGACCCATGTTGGCCAAAACCAGAGCTCTGACTTGATCCAGAATCGTGTTGGCCAAAGCCAGAGCTCTGACCTGAGCCAGACCCATGTTGACCAAAGCCAGATGATTGGCTTGATCCAGTCCCATGGTGGCCAGAGGTAGAGCTCTGACCTGAGCCAGACCCATGTTGACCAAAGCCAGATGATTGGCTTGATCCAGTCCCATGGTGGCCAGAGGTAGAGCTCTGACCTGAGCCAGACCCATGTTGACCAAAGCCAGATGATTGGCTTGATCCAGTCCCATGGTGGCCAGAGGTAGAGCTCTGACCTGAGCCAGACCCATGTTGACCAAAGCCAGATGATTGGCTTGATCCAGTCCCATGGTGGCCAGAGGTAGAGCTCTGACCTGAGCCAGACCCATGTTGACCAAAGCCAGATGATTGGCTTGATCCAGTCCCATGGTGGCCAGAGGTAGAGCTCTGACCTGAGCCAGACCCATGTTGACCAAAGCCAGATGATTGGCTTGATCCAGTCCCATGGTGGCCAGAGGTAGAGCTCTGACCTGAGCCAGACCCATGTTGACCAAAGCCAGATGATTGGCTTGATCCAGTCCCATGGTGGCCAGAGGTAGAGCTCTGACCTGAGCCAGACCCATGTTGACCAAAGCCAGATGATTGGCTTGATCCAGTCCCATGGTGGCCAGAGGTAGAGCTCTGACCTGAGCCAGACCCATGTTGACCAAAGCCAGATGATTGGCTTGATCCAGTCCCATGGTGGCCAGAGGTAGAGCTCTGACCTGAGCCAGACCCATGTTGACCAAAGCCAGATGATTGGCTTGATCCAGTCCCATGGTGGCCAGAGGTAGAGCTCTGACCTGAGCCAGACCCATGTTGACCAAAGCCAGATGATTGGCTTGATCCAGTCCCATGGTGGCCAGAGGTAGAGCTCTGACCTGAGCCAGACCCATGTTGACCAAAGCCAGATGATTGGCTTGATCCAGTCCCATGGTGGCCAGAGGTAGAGCTCTGACCTGAGCCAGACCCATGTTGACCAAAGCCAGATGATTGGCTTGATCCAGTCCCATGGTGGCCAGAGGTAGAGCTCTGACCTGAGCCAGACCCATGTTGACCAAAGCCAGATGATTGGCTTGATCCAGTCCCATGGTGGCCAGAGGTAGAGCTCTGACCTGAGCCAGACCCATGTTGACCAAAGCCAGATGATTGGCTTGATCCAGTCCCATGGTGGCCAGAGGTAGAGCTCTGACCTGAGCCAGACCCATGTTGACCAAAGCCAGATGATTGGCTTGATCCAGTCCCATGGTGGCCAGAGGTAGAGCTCTGACCTGAGCCAGACCCATGTTGACCAAAGCCAGATGATTGGCTTGATCCAGTCCCATGGTGGCCAGAGGTAGAGCTCTGACCTGAGCCAGACCCATGTTGACCAAAGCCAGATGATTGGCTTGATCCAGTCCCATGGTGGCCAGAGGTAGAGCTCTGACCTGAGCCAGACCCATGTTGACCAAAGCCAGATGATTGGCTTGATCCAGTCCCATGGTGGCCAGAGGTAGAGCTCTGACCTGAGCCAGACCCATGTTGACCAAAGCCAGATGATTGGCTTGATCCAGTCCCATGGTGGCCAGAGGTAGAGCTCTGACCTGAGCCAGACCCATGTTGACCAAAGCCAGATGATTGGCTTGATCCAGTCCCATGGTGGCCAGAGGTAGAGCTCTGACCTGAGCCAGACCCATGTTGACCAAAGCCAGATGATTGGCTTGATCCAGTCCCATGGTGGCCAGAGGTAGAGCTCTGACCTGAGCCAGACCCATGTTGACCAAAGCCAGATGATTGGCTTGATCCAGTCCCATGGTGGCCAGAGGTAGAGCTCTGACCTGAGCCAGACCCATGTTGACCAAAGCCAGATGATTGGCTTGATCCAGTCCCATGGTGGCCAGAGGTAGAGCTCTGACCTGAGCCAGACCCATGTTGACCAAAGCCAGATGATTGGCTTGATCCAGTCCCATGGTGGCCAGAGGTAGAGCTCTGACCTGAGCCAGACCCATGTTGACCAAAGCCAGATGATTGGCTTGATCCAGTCCCATGGTGGCCAGAGGTAGAGCTCTGACCTGAGCCAGACCCATGTTGACCAAAGCCAGATGATTGGCTTGATCCAGTCCCATGGTGGCCAGAGGTAGAGCTCTGACCTGAGCCAGACCCATGTTGACCAAAGCCAGATGATTGGCTTGATCCAGTCCCATGGTGGCCAGAGGTAGAGCTCTGACCTGAGCCAGACCCATGTTGACCAAAGCCAGATGATTGGCTTGATCCAGTCCCATGGTGGCCAGAGGTAGAGCTCTGACCTGAGCCAGACCCATGTTGACCAAAGCCAGATGATTGGCTTGATCCAGTCCCATGGTGGCCAGAGGTAGAGCTCTGACCTGAGCCAGACCCATGTTGACCAAAGCCAGATGATTGGCTTGATCCAGTCCCATGGTGGCCAGAGGTAGAGCTCTGACCTGAGCCAGACCCATGTTGACCAAAGCCAGATGATTGGCTTGATCCAGTCCCATGGTGGCCAGAGGTAGAGCTCTGACCTGAGCCAGACCCATGTTGACCAAAGCCAGATGATTGGCTTGATCCAGTCCCATGGTGGCCAGAGGTAGAGCTCTGACCTGAGCCAGACCCATGTTGACCAAAGCCAGATGATTGGCTTGATCCAGTCCCATGGTGGCCAGAGGTAGAGCTCTGACCTGAGCCAGACCCATGTTGACCAAAGCCAGATGATTGGCTTGATCCAGTCCCATGGTGGCCAGAGGTAGAGCTCTGACCTGAGCCAGACCCATGTTGACCAAAGCCAGATGATTGGCTTGATCCAGTCCCATGGTGGCCAGAGGTAGAGCTCTGACCTGAGCCAGACCCATGTTGACCAAAGCCAGATGATTGGCTTGATCCAGTCCCATGGTGGCCAGAGGTAGAGCTCTGACCTGAGCCAGACCCATGTTGACCAAAGCCAGATGATTGGCTTGATCCAGTCCCATGGTGGCCAGAGGTAGAGCTCTGACCTGAGCCAGACCCATGTTGACCAAAGCCAGATGATTGGCTTGATCCAGTCCCATGGTGGCCAGAGGTAGAGCTCTGACCTGAGCCAGACCCATGTTGACCAAAGCCAGATGATTGGCTTGATCCAGTCCCATGGTGGCCAGAGGTAGAGCTCTGACCTGAGCCAGACCCATGTTGACCAAAGCCAGATGATTGGCTTGATCCAGTCCCATGGTGGCCAGAGGTAGAGCTCTGACCTGAGCCAGACCCATGTTGACCAAAGCCAGATGATTGGCTTGATCCAGTCCCATGGTGGCCAGAGGTAGAGCTCTGACCTGAGCCAGACCCATGTTGACCAAAGCCAGATGATTGGCTTGATCCAGTCCCATGGTGGCCAGAGGTAGAGCTCTGACCTGAGCCAGACCCATGTTGACCAAAGCCAGATGATTGGCTTGATCCAGTCCCATGGTGGCCAGAGGTAGAGCTCTGACCTGAGCCAGACCCATGTTGACCAAAGCCAGATGATTGGCTTGATCCAGTCCCATGGTGGCCAGAGGTAGAGCTCTGACCTGAGCCAGACCCATGTTGACCAAAGCCAGATGATTGGCTTGATCCAGTCCCATGGTGGCCAGAGGTAGAGCTCTGACCTGAGCCAGACCCATGTTGACCAAAGCCAGATGATTGGCTTGATCCAGTCCCATGGTGGCCAGAGGTAGAGCTCTGACCTGAGCCAGACCCATGTTGACCAAAGCCAGATGATTGGCTTGATCCAGTCCCATGGTGGCCAGAGGTAGAGCTCTGACCTGAGCCAGACCCATGTTGACCAAAGCCAGATGATTGGCTTGATCCAGTCCCATGGTGGCCAGAGGTAGAGCTCTGACCTGAGCCAGACCCATGTTGACCAAAGCCAGATGATTGGCTTGATCCAGTCCCATGGTGGCCAGAGGTAGAGCTCTGACCTGAGCCAGACCCATGTTGACCAAAGCCAGATGATTGGCTTGATCCAGTCCCATGGTGGCCAGAGGTAGAGCTCTGACCTGAGCCAGACCCATGTTGACCAAAGCCAGATGATTGGCTTGATCCAGTCCCATGGTGGCCAGAGGTAGAGCTCTGACCTGAGCCAGACCCATGTTGACCAAAGCCAGATGATTGGCTTGATCCAGTCCCATGGTGGCCAGAGGTAGAGCTCTGACCTGAGCCAGACCCATGTTGACCAAAGCCAGATGATTGGCTTGATCCAGTCCCATGGTGGCCAGAGGTAGAGCTCTGACCTGAGCCAGACCCATGTTGACCAAAGCCAGATGATTGGCTTGATCCAGTCCCATGGTGGCCAGAGGTAGAGCTCTGACCTGAGCCAGACCCATGTTGACCAAAGCCAGATGATTGGCTTGATCCAGTCCCATGGTGGCCAGAGGTAGAGCTCTGACCTGAGCCAGACCCATGTTGACCAAAGCCAGATGATTGGCTTGATCCAGTCCCATGGTGGCCAGAGGTAGAGCTCTGACCTGAGCCAGACCCATGTTGACCAAAGCCAGATGATTGGCTTGATCCAGTCCCATGGTGGCCAGAGGTAGAGCTCTGACCTGAGCCAGACCCATGTTGACCAAAGCCAGATGATTGGCTTGATCCAGTCCCATGGTGGCCAGAGGTAGAGCTCTGACCTGAGCCAGACCCATGTTGACCAAAGCCAGATGATTGGCTTGATCCAGTCCCATGGTGGCCAGAGGTAGAGCTCTGACCTGAGCCAGACCCATGTTGACCAAAGCCAGATGATTGGCTTGATCCAGTCCCATGGTGGCCAGAGGTAGAGCTCTGACCTGAGCCAGACCCATGTTGACCAAAGCCAGATGATTGGCTTGATCCAGTCCCATGGTGGCCAGAGGTAGAGCTCTGACCTGAGCCAGACCCATGTTGACCAAAGCCAGATGATTGGCTTGATCCAGTCCCATGGTGGCCAGAGGTAGAGCTCTGACCTGAGCCAGACCCATGTTGACCAAAGCCAGATGATTGGCTTGATCCAGTCCCATGGTGGCCAGAGGTAGAGCTCTGACCTGAGCCAGACCCATGTTGACCAAAGCCAGATGATTGGCTTGATCCAGTCCCATGGTGGCCAGAGGTAGAGCTCTGACCTGAGCCAGACCCATGTTGACCAAAGCCAGATGATTGGCTTGATCCAGTCCCATGGTGGCCAGAGGTAGAGCTCTGACCTGAGCCAGACCCATGTTGACCAAAGCCAGATGATTGGCTTGATCCAGTCCCATGGTGGCCAGAGGTAGAGCTCTGACCTGAGCCAGACCCATGTTGACCAAAGCCAGATGATTGGCTTGATCCAGTCCCATGGTGGCCAGAGGTAGAGCTCTGACCTGAGCCAGACCCATGTTGACCAAAGCCAGATGATTGGCTTGATCCAGTCCCATGGTGGCCAGAGGTAGAGCTCTGACCTGAGCCAGACCCATGTTGACCAAAGCCAGATGATTGGCTTGATCCAGTCCCATGGTGGCCAGAGGTAGAGCTCTGACCTGAGCCAGACCCATGTTGACCAAAGCCAGATGATTGGCTTGATCCAGTCCCATGGTGGCCAGAGGTAGAGCTCTGACCTGAGCCAGACCCATGTTGACCAAAGCCAGATGATTGGCTTGATCCAGTCCCATGGTGGCCAGAGGTAGAGCTCTGACCTGAGCCAGACCCATGTTGGCCAAAGCCAGATGATTGGCTTGATCCAGTCCCATGGTGGCCAGAGGTAGAGCTCTGACCTGAGCCAGACCCATGTTGACCAAAGCCAGATGATTGGCTTGATCCAGTCCCATGGTGGCCAGAGGTAGAGCTCTGACCTGAGCCAGACCCATGTTGACCAAAGCCAGATGACTGGCTTGATCCAGTCCCATGGTGGCCAGAGGTAGAGCTCTGACCTGAGCCAGACCCATGTTGGCCAAAGCCAGAGCTCTGACCTGAGCCAGACCCGTGTTGGCCAAAGCCAGAGGACTGGCCTGAGCCAGATCCATGTTGACCGAAGCCAGATGACTGGCTTGATCCAGATCCATGTTGGCCAAAGCCAGAGCTCTGTCCTGAGCCAGACCCGTGTTGACCAAAGCCAGAGGACTGGCCTGAGCCAGACCCGTGTTGGCCAAAGCCAGAGGACTGGCTTGACCTGGACCCATGTTGGCCAAAACCAGAGCTCTGACTTGAGCCAGACCCATGTTGGCCAAAGCCAGAGGCCTGGCCTGAGCCAGACCCGTGTTGTCCAAAGCCAGAGCTCTGACCTGATCCAGACCCATGCTGGCCAAAGCCAGAGCTCTGACCTGAGCCAGACCAATGTTGGCCAGAGCCAGAGGACTGGCCTGAGCCAGACCCGTGTTGACCATTTTTAGAAAATTCATTTGAATTAGATTTTTTCTGAGGAGGGTTCAATGGCTGTTTACAGGAACCAGCTCCTTGTTGACCATAAGTGGAAGACTGACTTTCCTCAGACCCATATTGTCCACAGCATGAGGACTGACCTGATCCTCTTCTCTGTTGGCCTCCACAGCTCTGTGGTTGGCAGTGTGCCCTAGAGTTACAAGAACTAGAGGCATGTCGTGGCCCTCCACACCCCTTCGAATTGCTGGAACCACCTGCCTGGCTTTGTCTTCCATTGTCTCCTGAACCTCCAGAGCTAGATGCAATCTTTTGTCCTCCACTCCCGCTCGACTGAGTAGAGTTTGATTCGTGCCCTCCGGCTTCCAATCCACATGGCAGGCCACCACGACCCTTCCTTCTCCCACTCTTAGATTCAGATCCCGATTCACATGCCTCTCCGGATTCCCTTGAGGGGCTGACATGTGACTTGTGTCTGTTTCCTTCCAGCTCACCAGAGCTGGAACCATGACTTTCTTTGCCACTACTCCATGAGTGGCCAGAGCTAGACCCACGGCGCCTTTTCTCAGATCCCTCCTGGTCATGTTGCCTCCTGGAGTTGGACCCACGTCTCTGTTTGGCAAGTCCCCTTGCGCCCTCAGAACCATGACCATGCTCCTCTCCCTCACCCCCACTCGAATATCTGTGACCTGATTTCTGTCCTGATGTATCCTCATCGTCCTCTTCTGTTCCATGTTCTTCCTCTCGGTGTTGGCGACCACGCCCATGCTTCCGCTGCTTTGACCCTGAAGCTTTGCAGTATTCTTTGCTGAGAACCTTGTTGCAGGCCATCGCCAGCTTGAATACCATCAGAAGAAACTCAGTGAAGTCCAGTCTTCGGTCATGATCTCGATCCAGCATGTGCATGATAACTTCCACTGTGTCTGGATCATCTGGGTTCTGTATGTGAGCAATGCACCGTCAGCACAGCCCGCACACCCAGTTAAAATATTCAGATAGGGTTGCGGAATTATGGATATTTGACATTAGGTATTTTCAATCCGGTCAAGGATTACTTTAGGCTAAGGCAGCCTAATAGGACTCAGCAGGTGTGAAGAAATAATAGAAAAGATAAAGACTATTGAAGACCTCAGAAGAAGACAACTCAAGGACGGAAGCTAGAGGCCTAGGTCCTTGGGTGAGGCATACAGGATGTTGTTGAGTAAACCAAGTTAGATGCCTTGTGTAGTTTAGTTTGACACACATTTTAAACATTACATGCAAATATATTCTGTGTTAGGATCTATAATTTCGAAGTTAATAGCTGAGTCCTTTCCAAGTAGTTGGAATAAATGCGTGTTTTTGGTTTTCATTTTTCAGTCATCCTGGCTACTTGGTCAACTCCCTTTGTAGATCGTTTCCCTCTCTCTGCTTTTTCTTCCCCATTTGATAGGGTGGTTTATTCATTCGTGACTTAACTCAGATTTCTTTTCTGCTTTTTTGGAATGGGAAGCCTGGGGGCATGAAAAAACCTGAGGGTCCACATTGATTGGAATGCACAAGGAAATGAGGAAAAACCATTCCCCTTTCTAAAAATAACTCCTTCCACAAAAAACTTTCTGATGTCCCCAGGAAGCACTGCTCATAGAGTTTACTCAGAGACCATTGAAACGGTGCGTTTTTTAGCCAAAATTTGTTCCTCTAACACATATTCAGGTAGGGTTGCGGAATTATGGATATTTGACATTAGATATGTCAGATACCTAACGTATAAGACCGTAGGCGCCTGCGGTCCTGGCGCACTTTGCCTACCTTCAGAATTGGGCGGAACTCTTTCTCCAGAAGGTCCTTTAGTTCAACCTTGCTCAGCGTGCCACAGTCCCCATCTTGGCTGGTGTATTTGTAGAAGACATCGATGACGGTGACGACACTTCTCAAGAGGATAGACATCTTTTTGCACGTTTAAGTGAAGCTGACGAGAAAAAAACAAAACAAAACAAAAGACCCTATCGTTTCTTTTCCTTCCTCTTAATTTATAAGCAGTTCTGATTTTTAGAATCATCATCATGATTTTTCAAATCTCTTGTCTCTTTAAATCCTTCAATACCTCAGGATGAAGGACGGGTCAGGGATGATATGAAACTTTTCAATACAGCGAAGAATAACTTTGCTAACATTAAGTCATGGCACGTTGCTTGCCGAACTGGGACTAGATCTCGGGTCCCCATGTCATGGACAAATACGTACTTTACCTCTACACTTTGTGTACTTTGCTGCCCAGGGTGTTGTCCTGGAGCTTCCAAAATTTCCAGAACCACCCAGACATGTTGCCCCAGTCTCTCTTGCTACTTTTACTTGTTTCCTAGAGGCAAAAGTGACAGACCTTCTATCATGCACTCCTATTTCCCCTCGGGCACCAAAAGCTGAACTGGACCCTTCGGAGAATAAAAAATGGCAAAGGGGGCCGATGCTACGGTATATTCTAGAAGCTTGAGCTAGCTCTCAAGAGAGTTTAGGGACGACCTAACCCCAGCCCTTGACCAAATGCTGATCTCTTTCGGTGGTCAGGGAGAAAGGCTCAGGAATTCGGGCAGTAGTTTGACTAGTAGAGGATTTAGCCTGGGGGCTCTGGGGACTGACATTGAACCGTAAGGGACTCCACAGCAGTGCGAGTCTCCTCTCTGCTTGAGCTAGACAGCCAGGAAAAAGATGGCACGCAGACAGACCACGAAGAGAATGCAGGACGACCTGTAGGAAGGCAGACGTCTGTTTGTTATTCTCCACAATGACAAATTTATTCTAAAAAGGCCCCGGAATAAACTAAACTGGCCAAACAAATAGAAAGAAAAGAGAAAGAAAGAGAGAGAGAGAGAGAGAGAGAGAAAAGAAAGAAAGGAAGGAAAGAAAGAAAGAAAGAAAGAAAGGAAGGAAGAAAGAAAGAAAGAAAGAAAGAAAGGAAGGAAGAAAGAAAGAAAGAAAGAAAGAAAGGAAGGAAGAAAGAAAGAAAGAAAGAAAGAAAGGAAGGAAGAAAGAAAGAAAGAAAGAAAGAAAGGAAGGAAGAAAGAAAGAAAGAAAGAAAGAAAAATGGAAAGAAAGTCCACATATACATGAACTCTGCCTCAGTTCAAACTCTTGGGTTTCTGCTATGGACAATGAGCAACCAAATATCCATTGAAAAAGCCAGATGAATTTTCTCTCACCTGATTCACCAAAGGAACAAGTAGGAAAATAGCCCGATGCAGCTTGCAGGGTGACAATGGACCAAGATATTGGCCCTTATAAAGGCGCTGCCCTCTGTGGGATGGACTGAATCATCTCCAATCGAATCTAACCCCACCTCTGTCCGTGTTTGCTCACCTTCCTCCGCCTGCCATTCTCATCTTTGAGGTAATTACAGAAAGGCTGGCACCTGCTCACCTTCAAGTGTGAGGCCACGTTGCAGGCACTTTTTTTCCAGGGTCATGACAGTTGTGGAAAGCAGGTGCTGTGTTTTAGAGGACTTAACGTCGTTCATTCCCTTTGTTGAATACCCATGCGGGGTAGCAAACTGTAAGGTTGTCGGCAGGTGCGCAGTAAATGCTTCCTTAGTTGAAAACGAACCCAGGTCATTAGGCTAACCTACTTCATGTCTCTGTGCAATAATAACAGCCATTTATTGAGAATGTACCATGTGCAAGATATTGTGCTGAAAACTTCACGCATCATCTCATTTCATCTTCATGACATTGCTATGAGATACGTATTGTTTTTCCCCACTTTAAAGATGAAGAAATAGTTTCAGAGAGCGTGAGCCTCCTAAGGTCACACGGCTAGTAGGTAGGGGAACCAGGGTTTGAACCTATATCTACCTTATCATAACGCCCTTGCTCGTAACCATCAAACTAGTTTATCTCTGTGTGTCAGTTACATAGTACACCAAATTTATGCAGAATTTTAGGAGTGTCAGGCCAACTCGAACACAGAAATATGAAAGAGTACTATAAGGAGCGCTGTCAGATAGGAAGAGGGAAAAAAAACATATTTTCCGGCCCTGGGAAGGGTCTTTTGTGGACTATAAAAGTGTAAGTCAATGGGCTGTTCACGAAAGTCACGTTTTCCAAAGGGTGAGTTTCGAGAGCATTTCTTCTCGGGCTTCCTGCCATCCATTGGTCATCTGGCAGCTTTGGGCCTGGACCCTGGGGAAAATGTCACTTCTATACATACATATATCAAATATAATACCTGAGGTAGGCAGAAATAGTCGGAAAACTGTATTAGGCATGAAGAACCAGCTTTTCTGTACGTCACCACCAGGCAGCGGTGACGATAATCTTGGTGATGGCCGTCATTAAGGGCTCGCTACCCTCTAGACGAGGCGCTGGCCTGTTTATTCCTCTCGATATCCCCGTAAGGTCAGTATTATTATCATTATCGTTTTACAAAAAAGGAAATGGAAACATAGAGAAATTTAATAATTTATCCCAAATCGCAGCTCGTAAGTGGCAGCACTGGTTAGAACCCCGAGCCGTCCCACGCGAAAGCCCAGCACTTAACCGCATGTGTGCCACACACGTGGGGTCCGTCACTTCCCCTCTGGGCCTTCCCCCGTGTGTCACCGTCACTCTACCATCTGGACAATGCCTAGAATTAGCCAACGCTCAGAGTGAGCCAGTCCGGAAGTCCCAGACCAAAGGACCATACGGAAAGGTACGTGGCCCCTTGAATGTTACAGTCATTTTCGGCGGCGTGCATTTTTCGGTGCTGGGCTTGTTTCTGTCGAGGTGACTGCTGTGCCAGGGGGCTTTCGGAGCCGCAGACCGCACCCCGAGGTGTTCGAGGCCACCCTGCACTGCGGCTCCAGGACCCTGGTTTAGAGCTCGGACCCTGGGTTCGTCGTTTGCCCGCCCTCAGCTCTCTGTGGCTCTCTCTCCCGCTTCCGACGTGCTCAGCGTGACACATAAACGTGTAAACTCAGGAGTCAGGAAGATTCGAGCCCAAATCTCAGCGGTCGTTTACCAGCTGTGTTCCCTGGGCGATGATCGAATGCTCCGAGCCTCAGTTTCTCAACTTTTATAATGGGGATAATAATACCTACCTCGCTGGTGGAGATCACTTAAGATAATCTGTGAAATTGCTTAGTACCTGCCTGGCGTGAAATTAATGCCGAGTAAAGCATATAATTACTGTCAGCTCCTTTTCAAAAAAATATTTCAAAACACCCAGCATCATTTTCTACACGTCGGAGGTGCTCAATCACGTGTGACAAAAATGAGGAGTCAACGCGAAGCCTTTGAAGGTGGCGATGAGACCTGTCTGTCAAAAGCACTGCCCCGGAGGGTAACTCATGAAATCCCGATTCTGTTTTTATTTTTATTCATTCATTTATTTACTTTTTAGTAACGCTTTGATCGAGATGTAATTCACATACCATAAATCCAGCGTTTCGATGGTTTTGGGCGTATGCGAAGTCGTGTGGTCAAGTCGCGGTCGTCATGGCGTCTGCGTCCTTTCGCGAGCTTCCTCGCTGCTCAATGCTTCAGTTTCCCTCGGCGATAACTAGGAGGTGTGGCTGATGCTGGGGTCCGAGGGGGCACGTGCCATGTCATCCAGCGGCGGCTCTGGACGGCCCTGGTCCTACCAGAGGCTCATGCACTGTTCAGAAAGGAACCCAAGCAGTGGGTGGTCTCTGAGGGTCCGCCCGGTGACACCGGCAGAGGCGCCGGCCAGTCTGGGTTCCGAGAGGCCGTGGCCCGGTGCATAGCCTCGACTCGCCCGCGTCTGTGGGCGGGGGTCCCCGCTCACCCTGTTCTTCCCCTCGCCCTCCGTTCATTCCACACACACGCTTCTCCGGGCTCTCAGGGGCGACCCGGCTGGGATTTCAGGCCCAGGGTGTCAAGCTCGTGCATCCTTGGCTGCTGGATTGTTTCGGGGGAAAGCTACACCTTAGAATGCTAAAAACAACTTCCATCGTACCTCCAAAAGCCCCAGATTTGGGTTTTTCCTCTGTCAGCTGAATTTTGTTTCTACATCGCATCCTGTTCGAAGGGGGGGCCTTCTTCAGGTTCAGCTCTGTGCCTGTCACAAGAATCGAACATTTTGTCTGTGCCGGAAGCCCTATTTCGGGGTTGCTCCGTGAACTCAGAGCACGTGCCCGAGAGCGGATCCAGAGACCCCGGTCCACGTGAAATGCCTCTTTTCCCTCAAAGCAGTTTAAGGCGCCGTTCTTGGCTCGTGGTCCCATGAAGCAGGAAGAATGTCGCCCTAGCAGTAAGATGGAGCATCTGCCTGTCTCGGCTCCACCGTCCCTGCCCACAACACCCGCGGCAAGAATCCGAGTCTCTGTTTCCACACCTGTGAAATGCAGATTATGTCGGATATGTCAGAATCAGCGGAGATGTGAGGATATGAGCGCAGGATAAGAATTCAATAGGTTTCGTTTTGTTTCCTGTTTATTCTCAAGTTTAATCTAATTGAGAGAAGGTTATTCTCAAATTTGATCTCATTGAGAGAAGGTTAACACAGGTTTAGGGAAGGGAAAGGTGACTATACATCTGTCCATCCCTAAATCATCATAAATTTTAACTAGAGACAGACTGGTTCTACAGTACCCAAAATTCAAGACTGAATTTTTATGACTTCTGGATGAGGAAAGATTGACCAAAAAAATATACCTTGGGCTGCCTGGGATGACATCTTCAAATAGAACTAGAGACAAAGTCAGGATCTCTATGAGTTATGGCTATCAGGCTTGGATTTGATGAGGTTTAGATTAGTTAATTTTATTGATTCTTTCCATTATCTATGGTAATTTCATTTGTTTTCTCTTTTAAAATTAATTATGTTTATTTTACTTATTATAGTCACTCCACCCACATGCTAATTCCTTGCCTCTGGCACTAATTATGCTTCAGAGCTTGGGTCTCCTGGGACTATTCTGTTTATTTACATCACCTCTGAGCATTTGGACTCTT